ATAATAACCCAAAGTAAGCCAGTGATATAAACTATTGCAGAGAGGTATCAAATGTTACATAAGAACAAGTGACTAATTATGCCCAATGGTGAAACATTCATGGCAGTGACGGTATTTGATCTGTCTTGAATGCTGAGTGGATCCAGGCTTTCCAGCTCATGATGCCCTGGATATTTGAAGGAAATATTCCTCCACCCTTCTGCCAGCTGGCTTGGTTTCCATGGTGTAATGTCCAGGAACATGGACTTTAGAGTGAGATAGATGTGGATATAAATCCTGACTCAGCCACACTGGCTCAGTTGCCACATTGCCACAAGGGGTAAATTACTCAGTTTCTCTGAGCCTTAATTTCCAATCTTGCAGAGCAGGGGAAAATGATGAGTTTATAACTTTTAATGTATGTAATATATTATATATAAATGTATGAAAACATTAAAAATATATAAAAACATATACCTGACACACTGTAAGTGCATAAAGCTTGTTATTTTTATGTGTTAAGCTGCTGATCAGCAACTTTGAACAAGGAAATAAAAGAATCACATTCTTGGAAATGAAGCAAGCGTTTGGGAGAGAGAGAAAAAAAAGGCAATCACTTCAGATAAAATCTTCCAGGACAAAATCCTCCTAACACCTAGGTGCATTCTGGAGACAGAAAACTCAAAGAAGGAATGTAATGGGAGTGGAGTTCAGTGGGAAAAGGATGATTGCAAAGGAGGTCGATACATCTATCATCGAATCTGCATCTATTAGTGTATCCTGGGGGTAGCCAGCCTATAAGCTCACAAACTAATGTGGAACTTTGGAATCCCTTTGCATGTTAGTTAGGAAGCCCTATTGATCTGGATAATAATAGCAGCTAACATTTTGCCAAGTGCTTGCTATGCACTAGTCACAGGACAGAACTTTACAGCTATAATTGTTTGGGTAACTGGTGAGGAGGAGAGTGAAGATTATCTGGCTGAGCCCTGCTCACCAGCATTGACTCAGTTGATTCAGCTGATCCGATTGAGCATTGATTTCCCTTTTTTGCTCTTATGCCTCCTGAGGTTTTATACTTGGCCGAAGTGATATTTCTTGGTAGTTGAAAATTTTTCTTAAAGTAAAAATATACAAAATTTGAACCCCCCTACTAGATAACCCCAAGAAGACTCAAGATTTCAACAGTGGTGATGGAGGGGGAGGCAATTTTACGCTGCTTGCTGGATGGAATGAGTAACAGTGCAGAATGATAAAGTGTGCAGGCTATAAAGAAGTGTGCAGACAATTTATACCGCTTGCTGGATGGAATGAGCAACAATGCAGAATGATGAAGAAGTGTGCAGAATGATATTTGCTGATTCAGCCCAAACTGTGAATAGTTTGGGGTGGAAATCTATGAAGTTTCTGGTGGGGCTAAGGTGGGAGAGCAAACTGGACAGGTAGATTAGGCTACAGTGAAGGATCTTGCAGTCTGGATTTTTCTATGCTGATTGTAAGAAACCAAAAAAAATTTTAAATAGGGGTGTGCCATAATTAGACCTGAATTTCAATGGGATAATTTTTTGTAGCTGTGTGAAGGATGTTTTGGAGCCTGGACGTCCATATGGAGGCCATTAACAATAGCCCAGAAAGTGACAGTCAGATTTTTTACATTTTCCGATTGTTTTCAAAGTTACATAAGCTTATTGTAGAAAAAATAGTGCACAGAAGAAATGGAGAGGGTAAATACACAAATCCTAGAAGTAATAAGTATTAAATATTTTGGTGTATTTCATTCTAATCTCTTTTTCTTAAGAGTTGAAATTTTACTGTAAAGTTAATTAACACTCTGATTTGAACATGTATTTCCTCATGTCAAAAAAACCCAGGGTAAGTATAACTTTTATAACTGCATAATACTCCACTACATAGATTTTTAAAAAATAATAGACTTAAGTGTTCTCCTAATATTGAGAGTTTGAGGTGGTTCAGAGTAAACACCTAACATGAGTTGGGCTAATCAGGGCCCTTCTCTAGGAGTTTCAAACTAGAAATGGGAAAATCAAGTCATTCCCCCTCTGGAGGAGACTGGCATATTTTCTCCCAAATGAAGAAGGTATTTGGTAGCGAGAACATGAAGAGTAATGTTCTCAGACACAGAGTAATATGAAGAGAAAGTACTGGCACATGCCTCGTGGTTCTGGTTGTCCTTGAGGCTCATCTGTGTCTTCATCTTTCTTATGACCTGGTTGTCCTGTGCTCTCTCTCTGAGACATCCTGGTACCCATGCGGTGAATTTTTTTCTTGTTTGTCTGTTAGTTTGAGTTAAATTTGGGAATTTACAACAATATAGAGTGCTATTATACAATAGTTGCTAGACGGCAGAAAGTGGGGCTCAGGGAAAGGGAGAAAAGTCAATGTTTCTCTCTCAGGTGACTGATGAGTTGATGGCCCTGTTAACCAATTGTTGGGGGCCCAGAGCAGGAGAACCAGGTTTAGAGGGCATGATGAGTTTCAGACACCATCCAATAGACAGACTATTTGGAGTCCATTGAATGTGGTAGTTAGGAGGTCAATGGAACCTATGTAAAGGAGTTTCAGTATTGTCAGTGGGACGTTACATTAGCATTGATGATATCACATCCCAGGGAAAAAATAACCTTATAATCTATGCATTATCCAGAAGTTAATCACTGTCCTTAATGCTCCCTCCTGCCTCCTCCAGTCCTTGGCAACCACCTTCCTACTTCTGTTTCTGTGATGTTGGCTACTTCAGATATTTCATATGAATGGAATCACAGAGTGTCTGACTTTTTGCAACTTATTTCTCTTAGCATAATGTCCTTAGGGTTCATCCGTGTTGTAACATGTGACAGGATTTCCTACCTCATTTTTAAAAACTTGTTTAAAGATGAAATTCTTAATTTTTTATAAATCATGCATTAATAGAATTTTCTTAAGGCTGCACAATATTCCATTGTATGTATAGACCATATTTTCTTTATCCATTTATCTGTTGATGGACTTTTGTGTGGCTTCTACCTCCTGGCTACTGTGAATAATGCCGTGATGAACATGGATGTGTGTACCTATCTCTTTGAGGCCTTGCTTTGACTTATTTTGGGTGAGTACCCAGAAGTAGGATTGCTGGGTCACATAGTCATTCTATTTTTAATTTTCTGAGGAACTTCCATACTGTTTTCCATCATGGCGACACCATTTTATATTCCCAACAGTAGGTACATGGGGGTTCCAACTTCTCTGCGTCCTTGTCAACACTTACTATTTTCTGTTTTGATAGTGACCATCCTGATAGGTGTAAGTTGATACCTCATCATGGTTTTGATTTGCATTTCCCTAATGATTAGTGATGTTAAGCATCTTTTCCTGTGCTTGTTGGTCACGTGTATATCTTCTTTGGAGAAATGCCTATTCAAGTCCTTTGCCCATTTTAAAATTGGGTTATTTTGGTGTTTGTTGTTGAATTATAAGTATTCTGAATATTAACCCATTATCAGATATAAGACTTGCAATTCTTTTCTCTCATCCTGCAGGTTGCCTTTTCATTTTTTTTATGTGCATAAGTTTTTAAGTTTGGTATAGTCCATTGTCTATATTTTGTTGCTTGTGCTTTAGAAGAGTCATCTGATTTTAATAAAGTCACCAATATAACCTAGCAACAGCTCCTTCAAGAAGAAATGCCACCCCCTTCCACCCCTCCCCACTACAATGATGAGAAGATTATATAGCAAAGTGCTAGAAGGAAGGACGCTCTGTATTCAAGTACTGTGGTGCACATTTGGATCTGTTTTGGAGTTATTTGGTAGCAGATATTGCCCTAGTAAGAGCTTTTGTTTCTTGCCTAATAATGGAACCCAAAGTACTTAGAGCATGCAATGAAGATTTTTGGATTGATGTCGACTGTACATATGCCTCCAGAATTGTTGGGATTGAGTTTAATTTGGGTAAAATTAGAGTATGGAGCAAGTGTGTATCTCATTTCCTTACCTTAGCCTCTGCCCAGGCCCACCCAACTCTTCACTATAGGACTGACCTTCGCTCTTAAGTGCCCAAGAAAAGCCTGAGTCTCGGTCCTGCTGAAATATCGATGACTCTTACTTCACTCAAAATATCTTTGTGTGAAATCTACATTACTTTGGAGTTTTAAAGTTACTTCTGTAGCAGTAAAATCCTTTTCTTCTTTTAATGAAAAGAGAATAGGGGAAGATGTGAGAGATCAATTTTAACACAAACTGTTTTGTGGAGAAAACTTTCTATTCCATTACTCCTGCCCTTCATTCCCCCCATTTCAGTCCCCACAATCCTGAAGCCCAGTTATCAGCCCAGAGAATGCACTAAGGGACTCCAAATTCTATGGCAGCTGGTGGGGCGAGGGGGCAGGTGCAGGGGGTGAAATGTATTCTTGGCATCCCAGGAACACTGGAAAGCTTTTTCTAGAGAAATATGGTTATTCATGGTGGTTGGTGCTTCAGGATTGTACTTCAGTACATTATGGGTTAAATGTGTTGTTCCAGGAAACTGACCACCATGGTTTTCTTTTTTATTATTAAAAATATTTCCAAACAACCAACTAATAAACACAATTTTAGAACAAAGACTCTTTATAAGTTGTGACTAACTTTTCTTGTAATTGAGAGTTATTCATTTCCAAGCAAAAGAAACAAATAAATAAATAAATAAAAATGAATTCATTTCCAAGCTATGGCCATAAATTACTTTAAGGACACACACACACACACACACACACACACACACACTCCAGATCCATTTACAATGCATTTTTAGAATACAGTCCATTTATCTCATCTGTATGAAATAAGTTCCCTTAAGGAGCTCCCTTATTATGAAATCATGGGAGAACCCCATGATTTATACATATTGTATATGTGTCAATATGCATACAGATGTATTAAAATTACAGTTTGCCCAAACAGCTTCCTTTTATATGGATAAAACAAAGCAACACTGAAGACAAAGCATGAATGCAAGAGAAAGAGGTAATAACTACCATTTTCGCTAGTAGTACACCTCAGCTTTGACAATGAAAACATTAGGTATCTCTTGAAGATTATTCAAAAGATAATGCTCAAAATGGGTTTTGTAAATCATTTATTATGATTGAAAGGGAAGGAAATGATAGGAGACAAATATTACAATTAAACATGTAACATTATTCTCTTGTAGCCAATCATAATAACATACTTTGAATTTTTTAAATGTCTCTATAAGTAATTTCCCAGAAAATAAAATTTTCACATCAGCTCCAGAAAATTGATTTACTTCCATCAAAATATTTTATCTCTGCTCTATCAAAAATTAATGCTGAGTCTAGGGTACTACAGTTTAAGCTAAGCCTTCATAACTTGTTTAAATTAGACTTTGGGGTTCTTACCAAATGGTGAACCAACTATTGCCTGAGAATAAAGTTCTCACACATAGTTAACCGCTCTGCCAAGCCTCTGGCTCACCAATGAATGATTTTTAAATGGTTTTCTGAGAATTTAGAAATTCTTCTGTAACCCAGCCAAAAAGCCTCCTGAGACTCATCCCAAACTGCTAACCAGTTTATTCTGCATACACAGTTAAGTGGTTGTGGGTCAAAAGATTTAGGAAAAATAGTAAATTGAAACAGATCGTATTTCTATGGGTATTTTTTTGTTGTTGTTGTTACCAAGAAAGCAACATCTTACTTGAGCAATGCATTCTTGGCTCTGCCCTTCCTGGTGATGCTAATATGTAACAGGCTTGGTGTGGGAACAGGGTGTTGCCGTCAGGGGGAAAGCAGAAAAGAAGAAAACATGAAGGCTCTGCCAACAAATCAACTCAGCAGCTAACATTTGTTTTCCAAATTGGTTAAAAAAATACCATACACAAAGTGATAAATACAGGTCCAAAAAATAAATATGCATATTCTGCACATAAATAAAATTAAGTATGCGAATGATTACCATTGCAATTAAACATTTTATCATTTTCATGTCTTATCACAGTTTCATATTTATCATGAATGTCAGTTACTTTGTTCTGGCACATACTAGAATGTACTGACCACTTATGAAACCTAGCAAAGTAGTATATTTCTAGGCCCTTTCAACTAAAATTTTACCTCCTTTGACAGAAATACTAGTTTTTCTTTTCTTTTAAATATATCTCTGGGAATTTATTTCCAAAGGACAATGAAAAAGGACTGTATGAGGCAAAGCTTTAAGAACCGTCTTGGTTTTCAAAGGCATTGTTATTTAACAAAGCAGGGTCAAGAGGACCCAGCACCAAATGCAATGAAATGGGGGCAACACTCCAGTACACTCAGGCTGTGCTGGCAACCAAGGAATATCGGAAATCACTGTCCTGTTTTAAATGTTACACTCCAGTGACCTGAAAAGGTGACAGGGTATGCTTCCTGATACCGCATAGGACATTCTTCTCCCTAACTCGCGGTTTTTCTCACAAGGATTATGAGGGCCGGAAGACTGACCGTGCGAGCTCTAAGAATGTGCTCGTAAACACCACCAGCAGCTGTTCCTCCTACTGAGTACTCTCTTTCCAAACACATTAATTCAAATACATTTAATTACAGTACTTAGTTTTTTGGCAGTGAGTATTTCCAAACAGTCCATTGGTTTGCCAAGCGAGAGTTTGGAATCTCCCTTTCTAAAGATTGCCAGAATATTTAGAAAATCCATATTGTATGATGTGTCTGATGACAAGGGGAGAAAAGACACAGAAAACAATGTCAAATTCTATCCCATTTAATTAATCCAGGAGAACATCAGTGTGTTTGCAAATTTTGTGTATAATGTTTTATTAGTTTTCATTTGAGTATTTATGAATCAAAAGCAAACAACTCCCATTATTTTTAAAGTCTAGAATTCTAGTATGTGGGGGCCATGTTGGCAGGATGTAAATAAACTTATTCGGAGCTGATGCAGCCATTGCTCAGAGGACAGGGAGTGAATGTGCACACCCCCAACGCTTTCAGAGTAAAGTGGGGCCTTTGGTCGGTCTGCTGCTGGAGAGAAGGGGCTGGCTCCCCACCGTCCTGCTCTGGGGTCCCTGGTTCCTGGCTGAGAGCAGTGCTGGAGCAGAGAGGTGGTGGAATGCAGCCTTCTGCTGATGGAAGTTGTTTATGTAACTGGCGATCAGAAGAGTGATCTCAAGAATCTAAAACAAGAAGAACAGAATTGTTATGGCCCTGAGAAGTTCCAAAAGAAAGTAAGAGTGAGCCATGGGTGGTCTCTATTTGCCAGTGCCCAGGCTACCAGCTTTCCCTTCTAGGCCGATCAAACAGTGGAATACTTATATGTTCACCACCATCACGGTGAAATACCTATTGCCCAGTACTTAAACCAGTAGAAAGAGTGAGTCTTAAAACACAGTCAAATTTAGTGGCAATATTAGAAAATGTGTCAGTGGTACAACTCTGTCTCAAAGCCACATTTGTGAATATATGAATTAAGAAGGACCTGGAGGGTGTTATGCTGAGTGAAGTAAGTCGGAGAAAGACAAATACCTTATGATTTTACTTACGTGCAGAATGAAAAAACCAAAACAAACAAAACAGAAACAGACTCAGGTACAGAGAACAAAGTGATGACTGCCAGATGGGAGTGTGGGGGCTGGGAGGGAGAAGAAGGTAAAGGGGATCGAGAGGCACAAATGTCTAGTTACAAATACGTCACGGGGATGTAATGTACAGTGTAGGGAACACAGTCAATAATATTGTAATAAGTTTACATGGTGGCAGATGGTTGCTAGACTTATCACGGTGATCACTTCATAAGGTGAAAAGGTATCGGGTCACTGTGCTGTACACTTGAAACTCACATGGTGTGGCATGTCAAGTCTACTTTAATCACATAAGAAAAAGAAGTTCACTGCTATTTAAACTGGAGTACTGAGTGTGCGCTGGTCCTCTGTACATCTTCCTTCACTTGAGCATAGATTTAATAAGAAAGATATCTGTCATCTTTTAAAAAACCTTCAGATACTAAAAAAGTAAACCCTTCTGGTTGACAATTTTAAGTTAAAGTTATAGAAAAAATCAATTTCTTATTCTTTTGACAAAAGTTGGAATTACACATTAGAATGGAAAGTTATTGCTTTTAGTTGCAGACAGAAAAATTACAGTTTGCTAAAAACAGTAAAGAAACAAGTAAGTTTTAATTATAAAACCTTAATTTCCCCACTAATGGGTCCATAGGTGAATTACTCCAAGTAAACAAAATAATGTGTATAAAGTACCTGACAACAACTTTCAGTAAGGCCACTTATTTTGAACCTTCTGTAGAACAAGCATTGGGCTAAAAACTTTACAATTCCTTCATTTAATTCCTATCTCCCCTGCCCTCAAAGGTAGCATCATACCATTTTTTTAGATGAAGAAGCCAAGGCTTTGTAAAGATGAAATTAGCCAGAATTTGGATCTAGGGCTATGTGACTATAAGAGAAGACTGTTTTCCCATCTGGAACTGTCTTTGCACAATAAATGTTTTAGTATGAAAAAAACTACCTTAAAAAGTTGGTGGAAAGGCTTCTACTCACCTTGGGTTTTGCCATGGCAAAAAGTAATTTCTCTGTTGGTTTGTCCTTTGAATGTGTGTTGTTAACAACTATCATAAAGTCCTCTTGATACCCTCCAAAGGTCATTAGACTCTTGTACACATAGGTGACTATTAACCTCTTCAAAGAGAAGGAAATATGTTATACAATCTTTATTTTCAAAGAAAGATGAAAAATGACTAGTCACATATCTCCATTAAATGCTGATATTAAGTATGATGTAATACAAAAAACTTCCTGAAATCAAATTTATTGTGATCGAAAATAGATAGTAGTGTACTAACTTTGTTTAGGCATCATTTACCTTTATAATTAAAACACATTTTGATTATGAAATGAATAACTCACTGTAGGAAAATGAGAAAATTCAAGGGGGAAATAAAAAGCATCTATTAATATGTTCTAGTATCCAGTGGAAAAATCACTTAATATTTTTGTATATGCCCTTTAATATACACACATACACACATATATATATTTCAGTTGAACCATATGAAATTAACACTTTTTAAGGTAAAACATGGTCAAATATTGGCACATCCATGTGGTTCAACCCAATGTACAGATTTTGATTTACACAAACAGAAACAGTGTCATGCATATTGCTTCTTTTTTAACTGAACATATTGTGGAAATCCTTCCATAACAACAAATGTACTTGTATAACATCACTGAAAATTATTTTATAGAGAATTTTTTTATTTAACTAAACTCCTATTGTGGAATATTTCAATCATTTTTATTTGTTACTATCTTAAGCAATACTCCAATGCATATCTTTCAACATAGTTCATAATATGCATATGTAGTTATTGTTTTGGTTCTAAACCTCAGCAGATGGAATTGCTACCTCAAGAAAGTAAAGACAATGCTAAAAATATTTCCAAACTCTTCCAGAAAGGATATACCCATTTCTATTCCCAGCACCCCAGGCTGGCTAACACTGGATATCATCATTCTTTTGAATCTGCCAACCTGACTGGTGAAAAGGAGAATCTCACTGTTTTAAATTGGATTACTTAGCCCTGGCTGGCGTAGCTCAGTGGATTGAGTGCGGGCTGCAAACCAAAGTGTCCCAGGTTCGATTCCCAGCCAGGGTACATTCATGGGTTGCAGGCCATAACCCCCAGCAACCACACATTGATGTTTCTCTCTCTCTCTCTCTCTCTCTCGCCCTCCCTCCCTTCCCTCTCTCTAAAAATAAATAAAATAAAATCTTAAAAAAAAAAAAAGAAAAAAAGAAATGAACATGGGCTTTTTAAAAAAAAAATAAATAAATTGGATTACTTGATTACTATGGAGATTAACATTTAAAAATATATCTATTGAACATCTGTGTTTCTTCCGTGAATTGCCTTGGTCCATTTGTCTATTGGTGTGTTTATCATTTCCTTATCATTTTTTTAAGACATCCATATTTATAAAGGATACTGACCCTTTATCAGATGTGCAGCAAATATTTTCCCTAATATGTTGCTAATTTTTTAAATAGAATTCAAAGACATATAGCCTAAAAGGAAAGGAATCTGCACATCTAATGATTAGTTTGCAAGACTCTGAGCAGACCAGGGCAGCACTAAACGGTTCAAGAGCTGCCGCCCGCACATGCCTACTTCTGGGTCTGTGTGTCCCTCCCCCAGGACCTGGAGAACAGGTTTACGTAGCTCAAGGTAACTCAACACTGGTGTACAATTTTCTGTTGGCTTTAAGTCACTGATTTTATCATCTGTCTTCAAGTTATCCATTCAAAAATAAAAGGCATTCAAAAGTATAAACTCCTTCAAAAAAAATTTTTTTAGCAATTTGAAGGAGAAACAATTATATAACACAAAAGAATAGTTCGGTTTCTAAAAAATACTCATGATCACTGACTATGCACAGGTAGGAGAGCCAACCACACTTGCCAAGTAAAAGTTAGCAAGTCCTGCCCATCAGGTTAAAAATTTTTTTCTTACTACATAGCATGATATATATGACATAAATAAATGAACACATAGAAAGCATAGTTTGACTTTATATTTAATCACATAAAAAGTTCTAAGATACTATGTAGGTAAAATTGAATGCATGGTAAGGTACCATGTATGGTAAGTGATATTATAGGAAATTATTAAAATAGAAACTTCAGTTACCAAAGTTGAAGTTCAGTTTCACTAAGTCTTCTGTAATGATTTCTGTACTGTATTTTGCTGCGTACAATCAGTCCCGTGTATAATGAGCACCCACATTTTTGGCCCAAACTTTCAGGAAAAAAACCCTTCATTTTAACTTTTTAATTCAATTATTTATATTTAGAAACAAAACCAATTATCATATTCCAGGGTATTATTGTGCATACAGATACCACTATTGCTTTCTAGAGTTACATTTTTAATGAATGCACAAGCATAAATAAAAGAATTAAAAATATTTATATAGATACGAAATTAGTACTACCCATGTATAATGTGCATCCTTATATTTCCCTCAGAAGTTTAGGCAAAAAAGTGTGCATTATACATGGCAATATATGGTAGAGAAATTCTTATAGAAGACGTAGTGAAACTGAACTTTGGTTTTGCTAACTAAAGTTTCTATTTTAATGTTATGTTTTCATTTTACACAGGAAGCAATCTTCCTAACACTATAAATGAACAGTCACTTTAGGAATTCAACCATGATTGCAATTTAGTCACACACCGTACAGGCATACCTTGTTTTATTGTGCCTCAGATTATTGCACTTCACTTTTACCGTGTTTTTTTACAAGTGAAGGTAAAACCCTCCACCAGCAAAAAGACTGTGACTGCTAAAGGCTTTGGTGACGGTTAGTATTTTTTAGCAGTAATGTATTTTTTAATTAAGCTATGTACTTTTTTTTTTTTAGACATAGTGCTATTGGCACACTTAACAGACAACAATATAGTATAAATATAACTTTTATATGCACTGGGAAACCAAAAAATTTGTGACTTGCTTTATTTCGATGTTTGCTTTATTGCAATGCTCTGGAAGCAAACTGCATTATCTCTGAGGTATGCCTGTATATAACCTGTCTAATCTTGTTTTGAAAGGTGAAATTGTAATCATAGTTGTATATTTGCAAAATGACTATTCATTTTACAGTATTAGGAAGAAAATCAGATTAAGATATTATCTACTGTTTACAGTACACTGAATGATGGAAATAATTGATAATGCAAAACTTTAGAATTTAATCTTACCATGGAGTTGTATTCTAAGATGCTTAAACCATCCTCATGTATAGCCAGCCACAGGAAAGTACTTCCAAGTGATGATGGAGTTATGGGCTATAAAGAGGTGAAAATACATTATGTAATAAATGCTGAGCAAAATTACAGAAGTATTTTTCAGCCTAAATGCAATGCAATATTTGAAACAACAACAGCTCACTAAAAATCTCTCTTGGGGAGGAGGCAGTGTGGCATAATGGAAGGAGCAGTGAATCTGATATTAGGAGACTGTGTCTGAGATCCACAATTGCCATTTATTAATGTGTGCACTTGGACAAGCCACTTAATCTACCCCCTGGCGGGGTTAGTCTCTCCACCCTCCATGTTTCTGCAGCACTCTGTTTATGTCACTCTTGGCCACGTTCACCATATGGTAGTTGTTCCCAGGCCTGTTGCAACACTGGATTGTAAATTCTTGGAAGTTTGAGTACAACCCATCTGAAACCACAAGCTTATGTATCCCCTGGAGTTTAGCTTAGTGTTTGACAAACAGAACTCATTAAATACCAAATAAATGAGCAAATGAGTGAGAGAGGAAATGAATGAATGGATGAATGAATGAAAAGAAGAAAGCAAAGTTCAGTTGCTATCTTTAGTCTAATGATGAGCCTAATGAGTATAAGAAATAATTTGAGGTATGGGGACACGGAGCAGAAGGGAAAAGGTAGGGAAGCTGATGGCTTTCCTGCCTTTTTCTTAATGTCCCTTCACTGTTTTCTTTAAATTGTTAAGAATTTTCTTTTCTTTTCAATAGCCAAACGTATAAAAACATATAAGCCTGGGGTTACTGTTACCACTGTTTTATTTTACTGAACTGACTCATCCCCCATTTTTTCTTACTTTTGCAAGAAACAGCTTGGCTCCAAAGAATGGCCACTTCCTGGCTACTGTCAAATAAATTCGCACACAGTCAGCAGCGCTGTGTCCCCGGAGGGCCATCCATCTGGTTGATAGTCGCTGGCAGAGTTGCCTAAAAAAAAAAAAGGAGCAAAAACAAACACAGGAAAGCAAAAACAGAAAGAGTGGGTTATCTCCCAAGAGAAAGCTCGCCCTAAGCCCATCTCAGGCACCAGTGGGATACCTAGGCATAACCCAGGGAAAGCTGTGTGTTGTGCTCCCATCTACGCACTGCCCACCCCTTGTCCTGACTTTAGTAGTGTTGCTAGTCACCAAATCCTCAGTATCCGTGCGCTCAGTGTGCCTGAGGTCTCCTGCTCCCCGCCCATCTAGGAACCTTTTAAAAATCTGATTAGCTAACATCAAACCTCAGTGTTAATGAGTTTGAAAGGTAATTTCTCCTGGGAGTAGCTTTCATTTTTAAAGAAAAATACAAGAAGTTGAGATGAAAGAAAAATCCCTGACACTGGAATTTTAGGAACTGCCACTCCTGGCTTGAAGGGCTGCTGGAGGCAAGGAAAACCTCTTACAAACCACTTATTCTACAGAGACGAACAGCTGATCTCAGGTGTTCCTGCTTTGGAAAAACTCATGGTGAACTGGATTTCCTTTAGTTTTGAATCTACAGCTTTTCTTCATACGCTCTCAAAAATTGAAACTCTAAATTAACTGAGTTTAAGATTTTATATTAAAAATCTGGCGTGGAATACCCTAAGAGATAAAAATTTTTTTTGATGATAGACCTTTCACGAAATTAAACATATTACTGACCATTTTTTTTCTTTTATTTGTTACCAGGATTAATTTGATGAGAATGAATAAGATCAAGTGAAAAGTGGATCTTCCAAATTAAGGTAAAATTTTTTTCATTAAAAAAATTTTAAATCTAGACTCTGAAGTTTTTAGGCATCTCTTAAAGCAAAAAGGAAATGGACTCACAGACACAGACAAGAGTGTGGGGATTGCGAGGTGGGGGAGAGGGTAGAAAAAGGATTAATGATAATGGAAAAAATAAGTAATAAATTTTTAGGAAGACCTACAACCTCTTGGGATTCAACACTATTAAAAAATCTTTAAAAAAAGGTCATGTACAATACAATATTTTTCATCTTTAAAACAGCAACAAAAAAACACGTTTGACTCGGCTTTTTAAAGAGTTACGAGCAGTTCCTTACCTCAACTGTTCTTCAGAGGTGTCATCTCTGTATCTTTTAGGATAAAATTTCTCTATGACTTGTTTCAGAGTTTGATTTGCTTTGCACTGATTAGTAACATGCCCCGCTGGAGTTGAAAAGGGTCTTTCAAAATCTCCAATCTCCACCTAATGGGAAATCCAAAAAAGAAGAAAATATAGGATATTGAAAAGAGTTTTAAAAAAGAAAAGCAGTTTTATTATTTCTAAACATTCTTTATAATATATAATTACATACAATTATATTATAATATATAATTACATACAATTACATTATAATATATAATTACATATAATATATGTCAATAACTCTACTTGTCATGATTGTGTGATTTTGGAATTTATAATAATATGTAAGTATTATTATTAAGCTCCAAGTTCCATTTGAAAGCTAATTTTGAAAGCATCCGTAGCTTGAACACTTCCGCTCCAGTCCTACATTAAACAACCTGGGCTGACACCGCCACCTAGCAGGATCTGCTAGTGACCACACTGCTCTGCCATTGCCTGTAACAGCACAGGAAGGCTTGCCATTTTTAAGGTACCATTTTAATTGACAATAATAAGGAAAAATAGAAGTTAAAAATGAAAGACAAGTTATAAAGTTAAGAGAAATCTCAAAAAAGTATTACTTGAACTTTTTAAGGGTCTTCATTGAATATAATGGGACCAAGAACTATATTCTCTCTCTCTTTTTAAAAGATTTTATTTATTTATCCCTAGAGAGGGAAGGGAGGGAGATAGAGAGAGAGAGAGAAACATCAATGTGCGGTTGCTAGGGGTTATGGCCTGCAACCCAGGCATGTATCCTGGTTGGGAATTGAACCTGCGACACTTTGGTTTGCAGCCCGCACTCAATCCACTGGGCCACGCCAGCCAGGGTTAAGAACTATATTCTCATTCCTTCCTTCCTAGATTTTCTCTGTAAATGTTACTGGGTTCATCCCCTCATTTCATTATTCTGGGATTCCTGGGAATAAAAGCCCCTTTCTCCATGAATGAAAGAATGTTCAATCCTGATCTCTGTTAACAGGCTACACAGATGCCACCCCTGCCCACCCATCCAACTACCCACCCGTCCATCTCTCCATCCCTCACCCACCCATTCGTTCAGCCAAACCTGCACTGAGTCAGTCCCCCTTATGCGTCAGGCACTGTGCTAAGTGATATGAGAAAGAAAATAGTTGAGCATAGCTTTTATCCTCAAAGAGCTAATGTCTAATAGGAGACTGGGGTATAAACAAATGCTCGTTATAAACTGAGTTAAATTAAATGCCTTGTGTGGGGTACCAAAGGAGCTCCGGCTCAAGGAGCGAACTGGGTGGGGGACATTCAGATCCTATAGAACATTCACATCTTTCCTGTGACACTCCTCAACAAGCGGATGGAGGCCTCCACCAGGACTGGGATGGGCTTACAGTCAGTCTCAGGCCATCATTTCAAAAGGGCCCTTGGCCTCCAGGTAAGCTGTGAGCACAACCAGCCTCTGAGATTCTGACCCCTTTGGCTTCCATTGTCTGGCTCTCAATACAACCAGTTACTGTCTCAGTGCCTCAGCCGAGCTTCATCCTTCCAGTCTGCTGGTTTCTTAGCTTGGCTTTGCTGTTCATCAGTCACTCCCATCTCCTGTCTGATCAGGTATCCTTCCTCATTTCTTCACACCAGGTAAACTTTTTCCCACACAGCAAGTTTTTTATTGTCCCCCACCAATCACCAGGTAGTACAAAGCACAGGTACCTGTGAAACCTGAGATCAGATTTTAACCTCCAAGGATACAGCAGTAGGATAAACAATAGTTATACAAATAGTAGGCGTTCCAGGAAACCTTGTCTCTTAGGGAACCCTATGGTGGTGTATCCCCAAGCTTATTGTCTCCCTGCTCTGCAGTCTATACCGTGTGGCACAGAACAAGCACGATAATGTTTGGAGAACAAATGAAAATCAACTCAGATAATTCCCAGCATGCCTCCCACCAACATGATGCCTTAGCAGACATGACGTACAACAATTAACAGCCAGCTCCAAGATTTCCTAATTCAGACAGAAAACATCGACAAGGACCTACACATGAGTATATTCAAGTCCACAACAGATGTAACTGCTTTCTTCTACAGAGCTCATATTTCTTTAGTATATTTCACTTACCTTTACAAACACTACTGTGAGGAAAAGCAAACAGAGACTTTAAGAATTTTTCCTTTTGTAGATGAGGAAATTATACTTTTTAGTTATGTGCTTAGAATTTTCTAGGTGCATGGTCTTACCTTTCTAGCCCTTCCTCATAGTCTCCTAAAAGTATTAAAAGTACTATTTCCAAAGTATATAGTAATTTTTCTTGGAGAAGTTTTCTTGACAAAATTAGAAGTTAATGTAGGAAGACTAACTTAAATTTTAGTAAAAATGAGAGCGATTTTAACAGAGGACCTGTGCCTTTGGTGGACTGAAGCCTAGAATTGCACGTGATAGGAAATGATCCCTAATTCTATCACTAAGAGAATCTGGGACCTATGTCTCCTTTCTTCAGCTGTTCATTACTTATAGAAGAGAACACTCAGTGTAGCACTAATGCTTTGACCTTTGGATAAAATTATTGTAAAAGTAAACTAATTGTCTACTATTCATTCATTCAAGACATTTATGGCTAATGGACTGTGTGTACGGCACTGTGCAAGATACAAAGGCAAACAGGGACAGCCTTTGCCCTCGGGGAGGCCACAGTGAGAGGCCCAAAGCAGAAGCGAACAAACAATAATGAACCACTGAGGTCAGGACAGTAGTAGCTGAGCGCCAGACCTTACAGAAACGCCAGGAGGAGCACTTACCCCACCCAGGCAGAATTCAGGAAGGATTCCTGGAATAAGTGAGACCTAAGATGAAAATGAAAGAATAAGCTGAAGTAAGCAAGTAGAGGGATGCAGACAGAGATGTTTCAGGAAGGGGAGACACACAAGTGAAGTCTAAGAGGTAAGAAAAAGTGAGCCATGTGCAAGCCAGGGGAAGGGCCAGGAGCATCAGTTTGTGCCGTACTGCAGCACAGGGCAGGGGGTGTTAAGAGAGGCAGGCAGAGTTTAGATCATGAAAGCCCTTCCATGTACTCAAGGGAACAACATGGCTAGGTTCGTGGTTTGCTATATCTCCATCCCAGTTACTAGTGCCACGTAACAAACCACCGTGACACAGTTTCCAGACCTAGGCCTTAAGGAAATAGCAGCCTCCACTTGTCTCTCTTTCAGGAGGTTGCTCTTGCTACCCAAGCACCCTTCTATGAGGAAGCACGTGAGGTGTCCCAGCTGACAGCCCAGCAGAAGTTCAACCTGACAGCGTCAGCCACCAGATGTGTGAGCGAATGACCTAAAGATGATTCTAGCCCCCAGCTGTAGAGTCACAACCAGCCGTCAAGCTGTGTCAGCTGGTGCCACATGCCACAGAGACAAGGTGTCCTTATACATTCCTGCCCAAATTGCTACTGTCTGAAGTGACTGAGTCTTGGAGCCATTTGTTAGGAAGCCATAGACGACAGAACAATCTCTCTGGCATCTGGGTGGAGGGTACATTTGTGGGGCCCAGAGCACAGAAAACCCCAGCAGTCAAAAGCCTGTTGCCGGCGGCAGGCAGGCTGTGATGACAGTCAGGACGGGACGGCAACTGTGAAAACGTGAACCACCGGCACGCCAAGGAACTGTGCACGGAGCCTCAGTGTATGCTGCATAGGGAGCACACAGTCTGAGACAGGGAGTGTCAAGAGATGAAGCTGCAGTGCACAAAGCCTGGGAGTTCAAATAGGCAGGGCACGGTGACTGGGGGACAGGGCGAAGGGGAGGGCACAGTCAGTGATGATTCTGGGGTTTGAAGCTTGCTTGGGTGGTAGAAGAAGATACAGAATGTGAAGGAAGATACAAAGGGAAGGTGATTAGTTCAGTCCCTGATGTGGTGAATTTAAGGAGCCCACAGAAGTATGAACCAGAGAGAAAAGATTTGGGAATCAATGGCATAGGTGGTAGGAAAAAATGAAGAGAAGGAATTAGATGCCCTGGGACGTTGTGTAGAGCGAGGAGACCGAAAACCGATGACATGTCACAGAGCTGCCTTAACTAGCGCGTGCAAAGACTCAGGTGTGATAGAGACTGGGGGTTGCCTCTTAGGAGCATTCTCTCCTTCCTTCCAAGTTACAAAGCCCTGACTTTACCTGGGCTCATTGCTGCCCATGGAAGACTACATTCTCCAGTCTCTGCTCCAGGTACACAAGGCCATGTGACTAAGTTTTGGTCACACTGACAGAAATGAAACTGTTCTGTTTATCTGCGGGCAAACTTCTCCAGGGTGGGGGCCACACCCTTCTTTAGCCCTTCCCTGTTTTCATGCCTGGAACACTGGTGTCGTATCTGCAGCTCTGCAGATGTCCAGGACCATGCAGATGACATGCTGGGGACAGCAGAACAAAAAACGGGATGAGGCCCGTGCCCATGATGACCTTGGAGAGATGCCAACATGCCTGTCTCTCTACGTGAGAGACAAATATACCTCTATTTCTATTGTCAGTATTAATTTGCATGCGTGTGTGTTTTTATAGAAGTCTGAACTTAATCTGAATTGATACACTGGTAAATAAAAGCAAGTGCGTTAGCTTGTTAAAGACCGATTCCTATTAGCCGAGAGGGTGGTTTCAGCATGGAGTCCGTACCCCATGGCTCTACACTCAGCAAACTCCTTTATTAAATGCAAAGCCTAGTGGCACACTTGCAAGATAATTAAGATCTAGTTGGTTCCCTTTATGGAATACTGTCTCATTCCACATCACTGCCATTGTCAGTGATTGGAGTCACACTGTAATTATAATGCCTGTAATTTTTAAGGTGTTAATCACAGCAAAATGAACTTAAAGAATCACTAAAGGTATATTGCTTTATTACATTTAAGTCAGTGTTGAAATTAGTATTTTACCTTTACAAAATATTTCTCCATATGGCATGGAAGTTACCTGAGCTAAGAGAGCCGCCATTTCTAACGCCAGGTCCTTGTTCAGAGGAAAAAGTCCATTTATTATTTGGTCATTTGTCTGATACATTAACAGCAGCTTTTCTCTATCAGTCTCTCCACGAGCTTGCATGGAGAAATATAGTCTGTAAAAAACAGGAAATTTTTCATTAAATGAAATTCTTACACAGGAAAAAAGAGTTGCTCTATGCGACACAAACTGAGATCATGACCATCTGTTAATAACTTCAGTTTTCTATTCTGTGCAAATTTTCAGCAAACTGAGGAAAAACCGCTCTGGGGTTGAGGTTGAGGAACACTTCTGTGCTATTTTTTGTGCCCTGAAATACCAAATCCCGAAGTGTTGCCGAAGAAGAGAGGAAGAGAGTAAGACACAGAGTGAAATGAAATACGCCCTTTGTTGTGGGGAATGCTGATATAACCCTTCGTTTCAACGGGCTGAATAAACCCAGTTTTCAAAACACTCAGATATTTCCTCAATACCTTGGGCACACCAGGAGATAGGAAATGGAGCTTTCAATTCAAAATGAACATCAGATCGGAGGGCAGCAGTTTACTCTGAGAATCGAAAAGATGATATTGGCACTTACAAATGTTTTGACTTTTTTGCAGCTTTAGGAGCTTTTGTTTGCCTGGCTCTTCATCAGCCCAGTGACCCCTTGGTTCACTCACTATGCTGTCTCTGTGTGCGTGAGATTTCGGGGCTCTGCCTTTCAGCCGCAGACCAGGCCTGGGGTGCTATGAATGCTGTGACGGTGGGGTGGGTAAGAGACACTTGGACGTGCTTTAGTATTGTCAGGACAACACAGTGGCAGGAAAAGAGAGATTTAGATCCAGCAATTGTCAGGTGTGTGCTCAACTGGCTCTGAATTTTCAGCCTTTTTCTCCCTATAGACTTGGGGGAGAGGCCACAGTGCCATCAGTTCCAGCAGGGGTCTCCAACCTCGGGTCCACACACTGGTACTGGTCCAGAACCAGGCACATAGCAGGAGGCGAGCTTGAATGTGATGTGCTCCAATCATCCTGAAACCATCTCCCCACCCCAGTCTGTGGAAAAATTGTCTTCCACGAAACTGGTTCCTGGTGCCGAAAAAGTTGAGGACAACGGAGTTACAGTATCTCTTGTAGGATTATCTCAAATAGCAGGGACTGAGAGGGTGGAAGTTCAGAATCTCAGAGGAAGCGTGGTTGGGGGGGTGCTTTGAAAAGCTCTTCCTCCCTGTGACTATGAAAATTCCTTACACCCACCCTACCTTAAGAATCGCTGTCCTGGGCAGTCGTCAGAGTGGTTGCTTAAAAACATACACCCTAAGTCCCATTTTTATCTGTAACTACATGGTAACAACTTGTTAACTAGTCAAAGAATATAGCTGGGTAATAGAAATAGATTCTAAATGTAAAATGCTGTTAGCAAAGTGTCAGAAGACAGAGAATAAAGTTGAGAAGAAAGCTCTCCCTTTTTGGCACGCAAACATTTTTGTACAAAGCTTATTGTCTCCACTTGAAGTTAAGGACTCTGTCTTCATCACTTCAGCCACTAGAGTTTAGCTAAGTGTTACTTACCATTGAATGTTCTCAACAAAAGTTTGAACTGGTAACATAGCTAGAAGGAAGAAAAAGAACCAAATGTACAGATGGCTACAGGCGAAAAGTGCTAACATGCATTTTCACACATTTCTGGCACGCAAAAGAGATTGAACCTTGGAAGAGAAATGAAGCACTACAAGTGAAGAAGGGAAACACAATCCCAGACCCTTAGATAGGAAAACAGCATGCAGGAATCAGGGGCTCAAGCCCCTACTGACACAGGTTGGGCTCCAACAATTATGCAGCAATTTGGAGAGAACATGGAGAGAGACTAAAGAATCACAAAAATGACCAAGAAGTCAAGAAACCCAAATCCGTGGATCTTGAATAGGAAAGGTGCCAGGAGAAGGTACTGCGTCTCACCCAGCATGACCAGTTCCCCCAGTACTAAAGAAGCAGAGAAAGTGGGCCTCTGTCACAGCAGGCGGGCAAGGCACAGGTGAGCTAGCAGGGGAACCCCCGCAGGTCCACCTCGTGGATGGTCCAGGGACCTGAATACGGTGGGATGGGCATCACATCACTACGTGGACCAGTACCATTACACGTGTATACACAGCTCCAGGTTCAGCGGAGCCCGCCGCACTGCTGGGTAACCCTTTTGCTTGCCTACAACCAGCTCCATATTTCACTCTTCAGAGCATTTATTTCCTACTGCCTCTTTTCTCATCATCTTATAAACTTACTGAAAGCCCTGCTTCACTCACCACTTCCCTTCCCTCTGTCTTCCATCATCTGCTGGTAACACTCCACTGGAACTGCAGTTGTGATCCCCTTCCCTGTCTTACTCCTGCCCCCTTCCCTGTCTTCCTTCCTGTCTCCTTCCTCAAGGCCACCACTCAAGTCATCTGCTCAGAAGTCAGCACTCTGAAGCCTTCCTCTATGTTCCCACCACAGCATGTACACACACGTGCTATATTCAAGGGAAGAGCGGACATGGATGGGGCATTGGCTGTGTGGTAGACTCGGATCCACAGGCTTTACCTTGGCCGACAGTTAGTCCTTCAGACAACCCTAGAGGGAGGGACTGTTTTTATCTCCATTTCATGTCGGAGGTCCATGAGGCACAGAGGTAGGTGGTAAGTGACTTGTTTAAAGCCACACAGTGAGTGGGGGGACCAGGAGCCTAATCAGACAGTTTCTCCCCAGAACCCACATTCACCACTCTGCTATGCTGTTCCTGTTACAGCATTAATCATATCGCCAAGACTCCGTGTCTCCCTACAAACTGCAGGGTTCTGAAGGGCGGGGAAATGCTATTCCCCTGTGAGTTCCCAGGGCTTCAATGAGGGCTGGCGCTGGCTGACGCTCAACAAGCGTTCATTGCACTAATGGATAAATAAATGATCATTGGAATTGCTAAATACAGGAATGATTTGTCCAAAAAAAGCTGGAATGAATCCTCTTTCTGTAGCCTTGAGTAAATGACTTAATTCTCTAAGCTTCAGTTTCCTGATCTGTAAGATGGGAATGGTGACAATACCTACTTCACCGGGCTGCTGTTAGGGTTGTATGAGATGACAAAGAAAAAGGGCTCAGCACTGGGCCTGGTGTGTGCTCAGCACTCAATAAATGGTGGTTATTATTATTATTATTATCATTATCATCATCATCACTCTTCTCTAGAGGTATTTAGAATTACAAGAGTTTCTTCATGCTGGATATTTTTGGTGTTATTATAGCTGGAAAAAATGGGATAAATTGCATGACCCATCAAGATGCTGCTTGGCTTAGGGGCCAGTGGACACAGGCTCTCTTACACCCAGCTAAAAGGTGGCTGAGACGGGAATGTTGAGCTATGCTCCAGAAAATAAAAACAACCAAGGACCACTGAATATGATTTTTTATTTTAAAGAAGGATAAGGAAGAGCTGTCCTCTTCAGGGAAGGACCCTTGCCAGTTTTGTTTTGTTAAAAACATGCCTTGACCTTGCACTGTCAAATACACAGTGAGAAACCAAATTAAATAGGCAGCTTAATTGTGAATAAAATTTAAATCTTACTTTACAAATGGTCATCTATGAGAACAAGTTTAAAACCTATTAGTTAGATCTTTAACCCCTGAATCCCAGTAATTAAAATTCCATAGCTTACTAAATCTTAAATTAAAACCCCATGGTCAAGAGCTGGGATTTCAGTCTGCATTCCAGTGCTGCTCATCCATGGCTGCGTGACAGGTCACAGCCAGTTCCCCTCCTGACTGTGTCACTGGAAAGTAGGGCTCATTGTCTAAGCTATTTATACACATGTGCAAAGCAAGACCTTATTTAGAAATAGTACTTTCTCATTGCTGTGGCTATCCAGCCATTGCAGGCTTCTGTTAAAAATTAAACCTTTTGGTTGAATTGCTTTTTTCCTGATGTCAAAGCTACTCTCACGAAGGGTCCCCCCCGCCCCCCGCCAACAAGGTAATTATTAAGATGAGATACTCATGACTCTCTTGTCCTTTCCAGTGGCATTTGCTAGACTTGGAGCATCATTCTTACCTGTGTCTTTCAGACCACCTTTCTGCACTTCAACCAAACTTAACTGTGGTTCCAACCACAGCCATCAGGGGAGAATTAGTATTATTAAATAAGCATTCATAAAGTAGGCATTATTTAGTCTTAGACATGAAAGTAATTCCATTTAGTGCCAACAAAACTGAACGAGAATTCCTGAGCCTCTTCTACATAAAGACACACAGCAGGTCAGTCTGGGAGCTGGCTTCCTTCTACCAAGAACGATGAAGGGACAGGGCAGCAAGGAGGACCTGTAGACCAGTACTTCTCGAAACTCAGCATTTGCCTAAGGGGTCCCCTGGAGAATGGCCACAACACAGACTCATCCAGAGATTCTGACTCATGAAGGCTGACATGTGCCTTAACACTATGCACTGCTGATGTGTTCTCATGCGGTGCAGAAGCTGCAGGGCCAGGGCCCACACATTGGGCAGCACTGCTCCAGCCGTCACAGAACTGAGACAAGCACCTGGAAGCTCCAAGTCCTCCAGCCTGCTGCTCTTCTAGTCACCAAAGGGCCACACATAAAGGCTGTCATCATGGAACAGGGTTCCTCTAGGAGCAGAGCCTATCAGCTTCTATCATCTAGGTAACCTTGCTTATCTCTAGAAAAGTATGGTTTTTAAACCTTACACACCAAAGCTTAACTGTCGCCTTCTTGTGTCCTCAGAACTCTTGCTCATGAGCCCCCTGAAGAGAGAAGTCCCCGTGGCCCACAACCACCATTACCCAGATCAAATAGCATGTGGCCCTCCCGTGGCTGGCTGCATGACAGGAGTCCAGAATATGAACGCTCCTCATTTCCATAACTGTTCCTCTGTATTCAGTACGCTATAAGTCCCTCTTACCCCCACACACTTCTAAAAAATATGGCAATGAAGATGCTGGGAATCACGGGAATACTCTTGCCTACTTATGTGGGTGTTTCTGTGGGGTAGGTTATTAGAAGAGAAATCCCGAACTGGATTGAAGGCTGGTACATTATTTATATTATATTAGTGCCTTTACTTTTTGCATTCCAAAAACAGGCCCCTGAGAGAAGTCAATCCTACACCCATAATTCCACCAGATGCTTGGTCTGATATTTTAGATTCCTTATTTGATGAGGTATAAGAGCTGAATAAAATCAGCAAAATGCCTTTTTTGTACAGTTAATATGACCTGGTCAGTGAACACTATTTATTAAGTACCACCTTCTGCTAATACATGGGGAAAAAGACGACATTAAAAAGAAGGGTGAGAAAAAAATCTGGTTTCTGACCAAATGCCAAAGTATGTTAAGGTTGTATCTGTTGAGAAGGTGTGTATGCTCTAGCTGCACTGGCTCTTGAACCATTTCTGAAGCCCTGACAGGCCTCCCTCTACAGGCTTTTGGACAGTCTTCTCTGCCCTTTCCAGGCTCCTGCCCCAGCCGTCTCCAGACCCTAACTAAGCACCGCCTCCCCGAGGCTCCCGCCATCTCCAGCTAAGTCCGGCTTCTAGTTCCGTGCTCTCCAGGTCCACACTCTTCTCTTTCTGGTGTATGATTTACAACTGTCTTCCTCACTAGCCTAGCCATTCCAAACATCGAGGGACTGTGTTTGTGTCTGTTTTTATTACATTTTATCCAGAGCATCTAGCTAAGTGCCTGGCTCATAGCTGAAGCTCAGTAAATACTGAGAGAGGAAGAGAGAGAGAGAGAGGATATGAAAGAATGAGAATCAATGAATATGAATATATCACTTTTAAGGTTTGGGTAACTTAAATATTTCTTCTCACAACAGATCTGTAATATTTATAGTCTTTATGAAAAATGTCACAATAGTGTTAAAGAAAAATTTGAAAATGAAAAATTCACCCAATGCTAAGACAGCAGCTATTTTTTCATTAGATTAGTTTTCTTCTAATCTTTGTCCAAATGCATATTTTTATAAAATATAATTATTCATGACACCAAGGGACAAGAATTAGTAAAAAAATTTTACGTGACAGTTTCTCCTTGCAGTAGAGTTATGATTTGTAAAAATAAATATGCAAATAAATTGAACTTTTAAGGCTCCTTAGTAGGAAATTAAATTGTAGGTGCATGATTTGAAGATAAGCGTATATCCCTACTTTGGTAGTTGGCGACGGTATTACACACCTGTTTTTATAAGTTAGACGAACAGTTCTCGTACCTTCCCACTTCCCAGGCTGCTGTTCTTTGGAAGCCTGTTCCCATTTAGAAATAATGTCACAAATCTAGGAAGGAAGTGAAAAATGGAGATTTATAATATTTTTCAAATTGGTATATTTTGAAGACAAGCACGCCTTACACTATAAAATTTCCAATTAATGTGATCACACCAAACAGACCGGAGCTTTTTGTTTCAAGCTTAAGTGCAGCTCTTGAGTTTAGGATTGAATTATAACTTGCTCTTTGGTCCACGTATCCCTTTGGACACACATAACTTTGGACGGGAGGATACATTTTTTATTTAGAATAGAATCTTAATGAAGGACTGCATGAGGCTGGAAACAAGAGGATTCCTGGAATTTTCTCATGATTTAGTCACTAAAGAAGCAACTTTTCTACCTTCTGAATCTATAAAGACTGCAGTCAAAGAAATCTGGAATACAGTCTTAAGTCTTTGATTGGGAAAGAACAAAAATTCTTCGGGAACCGAATAAACATTTGTTTACTTAACGGATCATTTACAGAAATAGAAATAAGTGTTCAAAAATATGTGGTAAGCAGTTATTCACCAAAGCCCCTGATATTTACTCAGTTCAAGTCGACCAAAAATGCTAACTTATCTTCTTGAACAATTTATTAACAATAGTATTCTAGGAATGTCCGTCTGAAAAATTTACATTTGGATTTGTTGAACTGAACAGGATATGCTTGGAGCTGAGGAGAAAAAGACATTGATTTCCCTAGATTCCTCAATCCGCAGTAGAAGGCAGAGGCAGAGGCAAAGAGGTGCAGGGGAAGGCATTACCCATGCACCAGCATGCCTCAGGAGCTAGGTGCATGCTTTAACAGCACTCTGCAGAACCCCACGGAGCCCCGACAGGCTGTTTTGCAAGTGGAGCTAGACTTTGGGAGTTACTAATGTTGCATATGCCCTAAACCTGTAAGCTATTACTTATAAATCTAGTTCTTCCCCTACTCTGCCCCAATTTTGTTATTTCCAATCCCAGAAATACCTTCACTCCGTAACAGGGCACTTATTCCCAAGAGGAATCAAGGAGCACATCTCTGCTCCAGACCTCAGTTTCCTCATTTGCAAATATTTGTTTCTCTAAGGTTCCTCTGGTTCTATAATTCTACATGTCTAATTGTCGCCCCCACTAGAAACTTTATTCGTCATTTCACTATGGCCTAGAAACGACTGTTTAAAAATCTTCCAGTTCTGTCTTGCTCATGATTTTCCTTATGTCTTTATTTCCACAGGTCCATTTTCTACTCCTTCAAAACCCAGTTCTGATCTTCCCTCCTTTCCACTGTTGGGCTTCGTCTCCCCTCTGTGGGATGTTCACAGCACTCTTAACACACTGACCACTTTCCAGTTTACAGTGATCAGTGTATACGGCTGCTCTTCCCTAAGCAAATTAAAAGTTTGCTGTGGGCAGGGACTATTTCTGATACTTTGTATTTTCCAGAGGGTCCAGTCCAGTTCCTGGGGAACAATAAATAGTTCAGTAAATATTACTGAGTGAATAAATTAAATGGAAAGCCATTTTATTAGAACTTCCACATCTCCACCTAATATTTAGGGTATTCTCACTACTGGTAATCCTTTTCTCCTCCTTAACATGAAGTACGTGTGTGTGCAGATTTTATATTAAGAATCCTATGGCTTCGACAAAGTCCTGCAAGTTCTTTTACTGTGGAGATTAGATTGTTTAAATTTTTTGAAAACTCTTGAACTAAACTTGTTGCAAATAACAAATAGTAGCTTCTTTGCTGTTTGCTGGGTGCGCACCTGCTTAAAAGGACTTGGTTTTACCTTGATGTTTCCTTGAAGACAATGCTCTAAATCCCTGCCAGAAGGATCGTCGGTGAACAATGCAAATCCAGACTGCGCTGGCTTCCTCATTCCTGTGTCCTGGTTCAAAGTATTCAAAAATTCTTCCACTGTGGTGGATGCATCAAAGCCAACTACCTAAATAGAAATAACAAAATCGTTCTCTAAATAAAAAAGTACGTGTGTTTCAAACTTAGATTTCAGGGGGGAAACAGGATATACTTGATGCGCGATTGATGGTACCCTATATTTATCTGGGTGCTTTAACTTTCTGCCCCTTCTAACAAAGCGCCACTGGAGAAAATTAATGTTGTCTTTAGTCATCAGCTTGCTGTAAGAATTCAGAAATCTTGGCTTCAGCCAACTAACATGAATTCAAAATAGGCAGATCATTTGACAGCTGTAAACATTTTGCAGCGATATTATGCCTACCCATTGAGAGCAAACCAAGAGCTACAGTACTATATGTAATCTTCAAGCAGATTAAAAAAAAGCAAACAAGAAATATACTTAAAACAAATGAACTTTTATGCATTTAATGTTTGTTTCTTTAATAGGCAGTTAAGTATCTGAATTCTGTGATAAAAGGCTTAGGACTACAAAGACTAATTGCTAGCTTTGGAACATGCTTGCTTCACTTGATAATCGAGTATCTAGATCTGAGCGTTGGGAGGGCCCACATAATTTTTCCTAGATAATTCCTGAGATTTGGAGACTTTAAAGAGACTGCACTTGCACACACCCAATGTTAAGAATTATTTCCTCATCTAGCAGGTGCACTGGTGACCTCAACAGAAGCATTTTTGTTTTTCTCCATCAGAACCGTAAGGGCAGGGAAACTCCTCCCTCATTTCATTCAGAATAGATTTGCTTTTATTGTGAATCCTTTTCAGCAAAGCCGTTTCAAAACTTGGCTGTTCTGAATTAATTTGCAAGTTTACCACAGCCAGCTGCTGACAAAGGTAGGCAGACAGTCTCATTTCTCAGCTGTCCAGAGTTGATATTGCACATAGGACCCTAGGCTGGGCATGTTTCCTCCAGGGTAGAAAGTCTAACCTACCTGATATATCCCGTTCATGAAGTGCACAGGGATACTGAAGGGCAAAGAATGATGGTAAGGATTTCGAAGAAGGGTTGAAAGAATTTCCATTCTTGAGGGTCTTGCTTCGCGATCTCCATTCTGTTGTGTTCTTTCTACACATCGCTGGCAATAAATGGCATACTTTCCAAATTCTGTCCTATAACACAAAACTTAAGATAAAGCCTAAGAATAAATTTAATTAAGATGACCTACTATATATACAAAACCATTAAGAAACCTTTCCTTGGTGTACATTATTTCAATGTACTATGTTAATTTGACAGTGATTTTTCTCTTTTCATGATACTATTAAACCTCTGTAACTTTTCTCAAACCCTAGCTTCCTTTCTCCCCTTTTCTGGAGGGACACAACACCGCCCATAATATGACCCCCTACTATTTACTGCACCTCCCAAACAAACTACTTTCACTCAAATCCTTATCTCAGGCACTGCTTTGGGGGAGATTCAAATAAAAGAAATCAAAAGATAAGGACTCAAAAAAATAACCAAATCACCCCTAATGCACTTTTTTTTTTTTTTAACATCCATGTGTGGTAGCCTCTCATGCGCCTCCTATTGGAGACTTGGCCGGCGACCCAGGCATGTGCCATGACTGGGAATTGAACCTGCAACCCTCTGGTTTGCAAGCTGGCACTTATCCCACTGAGCCACATCAGCCAAGGCTCCCTAATGCACTCTTGATATCAATACTTCAGGGCTTTTGCCTTGTATTGTTGGCTCTTTACAGGATCTGCTCGCAGTGATGGCAGGAACTACACTTTATTCTCCTCTTACCCCTCTTCAGGCAGTGCCTTGGATGTGGGACACAATGATGCTGCCTCATTTGCTTAAGTCAATGGTGTTGGTTCTTGTTAGTTCTACTTTCTTTGCTTTTGTCACTGACTGAACGAAACTTCCCCACAAAGCATTCTTTGTCTTTATCATATTATTATAGTCGCAAGATGAATTAAAAAATACCAGTTGTTACATAGTTTACATACAGGGGTGGACCTAAAAAACCCAGAATTTATGTATAAAATATTGTGCATTTAACTCATATTCTTACATGTTTAAACTTCAATCACCTTCAAAGTATTCTCCATGTGATGCCATATACCTATTGAGACTTTTTTCCCACTGCTCAAAACAGTTTTTGAATTCATCAATTTTGATGCCATTCAGTGTTTCTGCTGTTTTTTGTTTCACCTCTTCCTCATCGGCAAAATGTTTCTCTCTGATGACTTTTTTCATCCGGCAGAAAAAAAAAGTCACTCAGGCAAGACTGGGTGAATAGGAAGAGAGGGCCACAGGGGTCATGCTGTTTTGGCCAAAAACTGCTGAACACTCAGTGCACTGTGGGCAGATGGAAATCACCCACCATGAAATGGGTAAACATATTGGAAGAGTCTTCAAAGAAAATTCACTGAAGCCGAATGCAGCCTCTCACAACACCACCAGCTAGTACTCTGATACATATCGGTTACCAGAACACTCATCTAGTAGGGGAAGCCTCTACTACTAAGGGGCCTGCCCTTCAGAAGATAATTCTGAGTTTTATTGGGTATAGTAATACCCAATAAAGGGTATTACCCAATAAAACTATTACTATACCCTTGTATAGTAATTACATTAACACATGTAAAGAAAATAACTGTATAAATAATAGCATAGGATAACTTAACACATGATGTAGTAGTTCTTATTTGAAGAACGTGGAAGTTAGTGTTTGGCTGCTAAACAAGGTAAGAAACTATCTTCAAACAGAAATATATTTCTTCTTTACCCTATAAAACATGAATGTCTTAAACGATGTAAACATTAAACAAAACCACTGGAGTAAATAAATGTAAAAGCTGGATAGAGATCTTATTTGTCCTCATTTATTATATATAATTTTTACTCTGTTAATAAAATCAGATTGATAATACCTCTTAATATATTTGTATTCAAGTGTCTTCTAGGAAGACTTTAAAATGTCACCCTTTGTCTGGGTGATTGGTCAGTGAATGCAACCAAAGTCACGTGATCTTGACAACAGAGCCCCCAAAACATATTAAGAACTGGAGAACATTTTTCTACTGCTTCAAAGTTGTTTTTTTGTTTGTCTGTTTCTTTGTGTTTGTTTGTTTATCTCAGTCCCAGAGTCTATTTAAGGAACCCAACATCAACCTCTGAGACAAAATGACCCTGATAACCCTTGGCTGAGTGCCCTGGGTCCCAGTGTAGAAATCCATTGTGACAGTTGGATTTTAAATATCTTTTTACAAGGAAATAAAAATTCTGAAGAAATTCTTATCCACATAAGTACAAAAAGAGGGAAAATCATTAGGGAAGTTTTCCATATAAAGAATTCAATGTGGAGAGAAATAGTAATAGAGAAAACTGAGGAAACAAAATAGTTTCTGTTGTAATGATAACTAATACTAACTCATTCATACTTGAAATATACTCAGACCTCTCACTTAAAAACTTTGTCAGGTTTCAAGCTTTCATGGCATTCTTCTGGAAGAGATTTAACATAACAAACAGAATATTTCCCAAGCTCCAGATAAAAGATAACCAAAGGTTCCCTATACCAACACGTGTTTCACACATTCTTCTATAAATGTGCGTGGCAGGTTTCTAAATACTTAGGATTTATCGTAGGTTTTCAGAGGCCACACAAGATGGTTCAGCTGGCCAGTTTCTGCACACCTGGAATCCGCATTCCTCTTCAGGTGGAGCCTGAGGAGCCACAGGAAAGGATGATGGGGAAGGAAGAGCCCAACGCAGAGCGCCAGGAGCTGCCAGGCCTGGGCAAAGAGAAGGAGCATAGGTCAGACGCCCCATGGCAGAGGTCCAAATCAGAGCCAGTTTGACTGGCACAGTTGATAGTCTTTCCTTTTGTGTGTGTGTGTAGTGTTCAAGGTTTTGCTTATTTTAGTAGTTGGTAGCCTTTCTTGACCTCAAATATGTTTGCTTCTTCCAACCATACATTATCTTCTCAGGGCATTTATAATACATAAAAACATTAAAAAGCCACATTGGGTCAAATCCACAGTCCGTCTAGTTATTATGCATATAGTTGTCTACTACTAAGATACCAAAAGACATGTGGATATGGTGATCCTATTGACATTACACTCAAAGAGTAGGGACATTGCTTTTTGTCGTTGTTGTTATTTATGGATTTGCTCATTCACTGAAGTGTAAGTCAAGGCCTTGAGAAAGGGCAGACTGGTGACAGGCGGGGGAGGGGAGAGGAATCCATGTGGGAGGTGGGGGTGGGTAACACAGTGGGGAGTCATGGGGGAAAAATGGGGACAACTGTAATTGAACAATTTAAAAAAGAAAAATAGTAAAAATAAATCATATACCCCAAAACAAAACCAATCTACCTATACATACTTCCATATACACATACAAAAATAAGGGGCAAGTATATAAATAGTAACAGAGATTAGGTAACAGGATTATATGTGACCTTTCCTTTTCCTTTGCTCTATTCTGCATTCTTTCCTATTTTAAATTGTTTTCCATTAAGCAAGTACAGCTTCAACACCTTTTTAAATGTTATATGAAGAAGGAGGAAGAGCAAATAAAGCACTGTCCTAGCTCTTTTTGAGTTGCTTACAATCCAAATTTTTTAAAATAACCAACAGAAGGAAGGATTGACTGCTGCGGGAGTCGGGGAAGAATTCGCAGGAGAGGTTGCTGGGACGGACTGTAAGGGCTACAGGTAGGAACGAAGCAGGAAGATCCAAGTAACCGGAGTGATGCCAGACGCAAAGTAGGAAATACCGTAAAGACAGGGTGTGTTTCGAGAATGGGGAGCTTTTACGCCTTCCCTGTGTGCCGGAGGCTGGACGCACAAAAGGAAGTGGAGGAAGAGGAGTAATGAAGGGCACCTAATGCAAAGGAGGCTTAAGCTTCGAAATCCGTCTCATGCACAGGCCCCTGTATCCAAGGCTCCAGGAAAAACCCTATCAACTGTATTTACATGATCATATGTTCTTTTAAAATGTGGAAAAAGAGTACAAAATATTAATTGTATAAGTTTCAAGTCCCACAACACCTGGATCTACACCTAAGAGTCCTTCCTGTATGATAAGGTAAGAAATTTCTATTTCATCCTGTAATTAGCAGGAGTCAGTAAGCAAAGATCAAAACAGGCATTCGTTGAAGAGTAAACATAAGTGACTAAAAATCATTTGAAAAAATACTCAGCTGCACTAATAATTAAAGAAAGGCATTGTAAATCAATAGTGAAATACCACTTTTTACCTAGAAGAATTTAAAAGAATAATTAAACTGAATATTGTTGAAGATATATGGAAATTCTAGAGATGGATTCCAAAAACTTCACTGGACTTTGTACTCAAGATTTAGGTTCAAAGATGTATACTGCAGAGGTTTTTATTATAAGACAAATAATTGGGAAAACCTAAATGTATAGTCACTGATTTGAATGCAGTCATTAATGTTTTGAAAAATGTTGACGAACACAGGGGAAATGATTATGTTCTATAGCTTTAATAAATTAATATGCACACTGTAACCCTAGTAATGTGAAAAATGTGAGTGTATATACACACATACATTTCTGCAGAAACACATAAATATATACATAAACTGAAAGAATATACATCAAAATATTAATAGCTATTTTTCTTTTTTATACTTTTTGTATTTCCCAAATGTCTTTATTGAATATGCATCATTTGTACAATGAAGACAGCAACATCATTTTAAATTGCACGTATATGTATCATACGTACCTGCAATGGTCCCGGTTGATTCTGTGGCTGTCTCCGTCTTGTCTGCTTAATGAGCTGACAGAAAATTTCATTCTGTAGCTCAGGATGTGTCAGACAGATCTGCAAAGCACTCTGGGCTAGAGATACATGGTAATCAATTGCAGGGGAGTCAACTGCGGCGTTTATAAAAAGCTGGCAGGTCTGAATTAAGAAAAAAAATTACATACTCAAGGTGATGAATGATTAGATTTATTCTGCATGAATTATATTGGTTTTATTCTTAGTAATAGTTTTTTTTTTCAAATGGATGAAAAAGATATATTATGGTAACACTAATCAAAAGAAACCCAGAGTGGCTACATTAATATCCAACAAAGTGGATTTCAGAGCAAGGATTTCTGCCAGAGATAAAGAGGGTCACTTTATAATAACACAGGGGGTCAGTTCATGTAGAGGACAGAACAATCCTAAATGATTATGTACTTAACAAAATATATGAAACAAAAATTGGTAGAACTGCAAGGAGAAAGAGAAAATGCACAATTACAGTTAGAGATTTCAATACACCTCTCTTAATAATTGAGAGAACAAGCAGACAGAAAATCAGCAAGGGTTTGGAAAACGTGAACAGCACTCTCAAGCCACTTGACCTAGCTGACACGTACAGAGCACTTCGCACAAGGGTAGAATACGTATTCACCTTAGGGGCATACAGAACACTACCGATCTCTCGTCACCGGACTATCAACTTCATAAGAACAGAAGCTGTGATTTATTTATCTTTTTATTCTCTACACAGCCTAGAGTGTCTGAGCAAATGTTTAATGAATGGCTGGCTTTAAAATCTGATTAGACACAATATCTATTAAGAAACATTAAAGTGTTAATAAACACCAGTGGTTGACTTTAATTATTGTGTTGTTCTACAGTAGGTGGTCTTTATCTCTGCTGAGGACAGAATATAATTAAATAAATTTAGTCTCTACCCTAAAGCACTGCTGCCCAAGCATTACAGCATGAAATAATCAACGAAAAAATATTTCCAGCATTAAATTGTATCATGTTAAGGAAGTATCTGTCACTATTTTGGGAAGAAGAGTTACCAAAAGCTCACTGATGTCAAGAGATAAAATAGCTGAATGCCGATATAGCTGAATGCCAGATTCCAAGTGCTCAGGGGTCTTGAACAGAAGTTGAATAATAAGAATTGGAGAGAAGCACTGGAGAAGGAGGGCGCTGGCCCCTCTCCCAGCACTGTGGTAGGTGGGATGGATGGAATCTCTGCACCTGAGAAGTTAATGGGGAAATAATTCTCCTGCTACTGAGTCTCACATTGCCCAAACTATGCATAGTTCATTTCAGTAAATCCCAAATCCTCACTCAGAAAGCACACTAAATTCACCTAGTTTTATTTCAGTGTATTCTTAATAGTAATAATCACATTTAAAATGTTCTTGGAAAAAGTAGAACTTTATACCCTAAATCACTTATTATTACTTTTCCAATTACATTTTTAATAACATATAACTCCATATAAAATTGTACCTTAAATAATTTAATAGCCTCTGTCTGTAGAGCTTCAGAAGGCAGTGTGGTCAGAGGGGATACAATTCCTTCCTTGCTGTGACACAGAGTAGGGTGTCTCCAAATCTGAGAGGCTAAATGCAGAATAAAATAAGAGCAGAAAACAGAATCACTTATTTTGGCCTCCCATTTATTAGCCCGTTAGAAATTAGTTCATTCAGGCCTGGCTCACAACTTTAAGTCACCAAGGTCATGAAAAAGCTTTGGCAATATTATTTCATTTCATTTTCCTGGCCACTGGGGATTCTTATGTTCCTGTTTCCGAGAAATTAAATCTAGGAGAGGTTGGTCCTAATAGTCTTGGCTGAAACAAGTCACCAGGGTAATATTATGTTGCTTAAATGTGCTAAAAATTGGTGACCCAGGTAAGGAGACGATTATACATGAGAAGGGGCTGCAGAAAGATTTGGAAAGGAGAGGCCAAAGTAGGAGGAGATAGAATTATAAAGAAGAACTTGAAGTCATTTCTAAAAATCAACATTTATTAAATTCCTATGTTGGATGGTGAAATTAAAATGTAATCCCTGTAATTAAATAAAACATAATATAGAATCTAGACTCTTAATTGGGAAACCTTAGCCATTAAAAATAATTCCAATGCAAAGCAACAAATGCTATGAAAGAGTTAAATGGCAAAGTGCATTGGGGCATAATTTTAATATTTGTTAAGAATCTTTTATGAGCCAAAAGCTGAGCTGGAGTGGGTCGTCTGGGGGAGCTTCTGAGGGGGGCAAGATTTTATCAGGTTGGTGAGGAATGAGAAGGAAGGGGGGCATTTCAGGCAGAGGGGTAATGTGAGCAAAGGCAGAGGTGACACAGGACATGGGATTTAGGGGAATGATGGTGTCCCTGGAGCCTAAGAACCACAATGAGAATCCTGGCCCATGACAAGAAAAGCCAGTGAAACGGTAGGTACATTGCAGGGAAATGAACCCACAAGTGAAAACTCCATTACCCTAAGGGGGTTAGGGTCCATTTCATAAACCATAAAGCCTTTTATATGTTATGAACTTACAAGGCTCTCCTTCAATATTTAGCAATTTACACACGAGTTGTTCAAATTCAGTGCCAACATTTATATTATTACTTCCAGCTGCCACAGTAAGATGATAAAGCCAAGTGTCCTTAAAAACAAAACATATTAATAGAAAGGTTAACCAATATCAAATTTTTGGTGACTTAATGGAAAAAACATATAAATAGTAGAAAACTTGGACACTAAAAAGAACTCTTTAATTTTAAAATAATAACTAAAAGCCACTTATTCACACAGCTCTGAAGCAGGCTCACCTGAATTGTGCTCATAGTATATTTTCACACTGTTCACATTTTTATTATTTTCTATAGGTGTTTCTTAGAAAAGCATGATAAGATTAAGGAAAGTATATGATGTTAGGAGACTAGAATAAATACAACCAGTTAATATTTCTTTAAGAAATACAATAAATTTTATCATATTTAAAATCTGATTCCCATTGCACACAAATAACACATATAAAATATTTAGGAAATCTAGAAAATTTAAAGCAAAATAATACCAAGAACAAACTTACCTCAACACAGTAAGGACCATATATGAAAGGCCCACAGATAATATTGTACTCAGTGGCGAAAAACTGAAAGCTTTTCCTCTAAGATGTGGAACAAGGCAAAGATGCCTACTCTTGCCACTTCTATTCAACATAGCATTGGAAGTCCTAGCCAGAGCAATCGGGCAAGAAAAAGAAATAAAAGGCATCCAAATCGGAAAGGAGGAAGTAAAATTATATCTGTTTGCAGATGACATAATCTTATGTGTAATCTTAATCTTAATCTTAAAGATTCATAATCTTAAAGATTCTTAATCATAAGAATCAGATTCTTAGGACTCTTAATCATAATCTTAACGATTCCACAAACACAATGTTAGAACTAATAAATGAAGCGAAATTGCAGGATACAAAGTCACTGTACAAAAGTCAGTTGCATTTCTATACACTAAGAATAAGTTATCCAAAAAGGAAATCAAGAAAACAATCCCATTTACAACAGCACCAAAAAGAATAAAACACTTAGGAATAAACTTAACCAAGGAGGTGAAAGACTGTACACCAAAAACTACAAGACACTGATGAAAGAAATTAAAGCAGACACGAATAAATGGAAAGACATCCAGTGTTCATGGATTGGAAGAATTAATATTTTTAAAATATCCATACTACCCAAAGCATCGACAGATTTAATGCAATCCCTATCAAAATCCCAATGGTAATTTTTACAAAAAAAAATCCTAAAATTCATATAGAACCACAGAAGACCCTGAACAGCCAAAGCCATCTTGAGCAAGAAAAACAAAGCTGGAGGCATCACACTTCTTGATTCAAACTATATTACAAAACTACAGTAATCAAACTGTGTGGTACTGGCATAAAAACAGACACAGAGGCCAATGGAACAGAATAAAGAATCCAGAAACAAAGCCACACATGTAGTGATCTTTGACAAGGGGTGCCAAAAATACATACACAAGGGGGGAAAGGATAGTCTCTTCAATAAATAGTGTTTTTTAGAAAACTGGATATCCACATGCAAAAAATAAAATTAAACCCTTATCTTACACCATACACATAAATTATTTCAAAATGAAATAAAGACTTAAACACAGACCTACAACCATAAAACTCCTAGAAGAAAACATAGGGACAAAACTTCTGGACATTGACCTTGGCAATGATTTCTTAGATATGACACCAAAAGCATAGGTAATAAAACAAAAACAGACAACTGGGATTATATCAAACTACAAAGGTTTTGCAGTACAAAGAAAACAATAAAATGAATAGTCAACTTATGACATGCGAGAAAACATCTGCAAGCTATTTATCCAATGAAGAGTTAATATCCAAAATGCATAAAGAACTCCAACTCAATAGTAAAACAACAACAACAACAAAACCCAAATAATCAAATTTACAAAATGGGCAAAGGAACAAAATAAACATTTCTCCGAAGAAGATATACAAATGGCTAACAAACATATGAAAAGGTGCTCAACATCACTAATTATAAGGGAAATGCAAACCGAAACCATATAAAGTATCATCTCATACCCATTAGAATGGCTTTCATCAAAAAAAGCAAAAGATAAAGGCTGGCAAGGATGTGGAGAAAAGGGAACCCTTGTATGCTGTTAGTAAGAATGTAAATTGGTATGGCCGATATGGAAAACAGTATGGAGGGTCCTCAAAAAACTAGAAACAGAACTACCATACAATGTAACAATTCGGGGTATGTAGCCAAAGGAATTGAAACCAGGATTTCAAAGACCTATCACATTTACTGCAACATTATTCATAATATCCAACAGATGGAAGCAACCTCCATGTGCACTGACAGATGAATGAATAAAGAAAATATGGTGTATGCATACAATGGAGTATTGTTTGGCCTTAAAAAAGAAGGAATACTTTATAAAAGTTGTTTATATGTTAAAGATTTAGTAGCCAACTATGAAATACTTTATTTTTACATTATCCTTTAAGTTATGTTATGATTTTATTTGATATAAAGAAGTATTTTGATTTTTTTTAGTCAAATCTATCAACCATTTCTACAGTGTTTCTTACATTGCCTTTTAAAATAAAGTACTTTTTATTTCAAGATCAGATAAAGGCTCTTTAAAAAATGATTTCATTTAACTCTTTAAATTCACCTGAAAATTATTTTGCTATATACATGAGATGACAAACTAAATGAATGTTTTCCCAAATAGCTAATTTCCTCAATGTATAATGAACACAAAATGTAAGTGTATGTGTTGAATAATCCATTACTTCTGCATTAATCTGTGATGCCTCTTTTGTCATAAATTAAGTTTTATCTTGTATTATATTAATGTTTATGTTTTTATATATGACTACATATACAAATACATATAACAATTTTGTTGAAAATGAGTCAAAAATATAAGGTGGAGAGATATCTTAGATTCACCCAAAAAAATCCAGTCTGAGACACCCACATTTGAAACATAAGGCTCCTTTATTCTACACCTTCATGCAATACTCTCAGCCTTGAGACCACTTTTATCAGTAGCATTGAAAAATGACACAATTAAACAAGGCTTGTTTCCAGGGATGTAAAGAATCTCTGAAAACAGAGCTGAAAGTCTTTAGCAAAATTTTCTTTCTTGTTTCCGTTTAAATGATTTGAAAGTTATTTCCAGTACTTTAACAGTACTCTACATCAGTCTAAACCAAGCATTAAGTCCTTACACACCTTTTCATGCTTGGATCCAATTAGGAGGTAAGTTGGACCTTGGTCTTTGGGGTGGATCACGATGGTGTAATGCGTGGATAACAGGCTTCGCCCACTGGCTTCATAATCTTCATCTGAATCACAGGATCTGTCAACCTCATCAACTTTAGCCTCCCAGAGTTTGATCTGACCTAAGGGAAACTAAAGTAAATATTAGTGACTGTGACGAAGGCACTTTCTAAATCTTTTCCTAATAAAATTGTTCCTATTCCTTTCATCCTTACCTTTATAAAGCATACCTTTTTAAAAATGAATGCCTAAAGGCAATTGGATTGTTCACATTGTCACAAAAACACCATTCACAACCTAAATATTGTACCCAATTGTAACATAGAAGAACAATTTGAATACCAGACATTTAATTTTTGTGGAAACAGCAAGAAGCTACTTTACTTAATCAACCAATGATGGAATTCAGTCAGAATATTCATTTGACTTTTTCCTCTGTAGAACTGATTTGATTAAGGTATTGGGTCAAAAGGACAAGGGCAGACAGAATCTCAATACTATTCATAGAAAAAGTAGTACGATTAGGGAGCTGGTACAAAGACATGTAATTAACTGTCACCCTAAACCCCAATAAAGTGAGCGGTGTTCTCTGAAGGTAATTATTAACATACATAACATAGCACAGAACAATGCCATAATTTCTTCCACCTTTATTTAAGGGTAAGAAAAATTTCTTAAAACTAATGCACATTAAATTTTACCAATTCTTTTATTGACAAAACCAATTGTGTCTGCTGTGTTGAATATTAAGTATATTTGTTTTCCTGGCTGGCGTAGCTCAGTGGATTGAGTGCGGGCTGTGAACCAAAGTGTCGCAGGTTTGATTCTCAGTCAGGGTACATGCCTGGGTTGCAGGCCATGACCCCCAGCAACTGCACATTGATGTTTCTCTCTCTCTTTCTCCCTCCATTCCCTGTCTAAAAATAAATAAATAAAATCTTTAAAAAATATATATTTGTTTTAAAACATTTGCTTTAATAAAGTAAATCTTTTCCAGGAAAATACACAATTTGCTTCTGGCTTACAGCTTCTAAAATATCTGACCAGGTTCGCCATCGCAGTCTGAAAATGTTCATTCTAACTCCAGGAACATTTACCATCACCCATTTCCATGCTCAGGCCCAGGGCTCAGTGCTTAGGGCTCTTTTTCCATCCATATTCACATAGGGCATCACATCCAAGCTCATGGCTTTCTACCAGCATTTATTAGCTATTTCTCCACTGATAACTCCAGACCCACTGTCTCTACTTAGATGTCTAATAGCGTCTCAAACTTAATTCGGTAAGTCCTCTCCCACACCCAACTCTGCAGTGTTCCCCATCTCAGCTGTTGCTAACTTTATCTTTCCAGCTGTTTATGCCAAAAACCTTGGCATCATTACTGACTTGATTTAGTTTCTCTTATATCCCATACCTTTTGGTCAACAATTCCTGTCATCAAGCTTTTTGGAATATATCCCGAATCTGGGCACTTCTCACACCTCCATTACCACCGCTAAACCACAATGGTCCTTCACCTGGATTACTGTAATAGTCACGTGACTGGCCTCCTCCTTATTCTCTCAGACAGCTGTCGGAGTGTTCCTTGAGTCATAAGTTAGATCACATCACTGTTCTGATGGAAAACCTCCAATGGCTTCTCATCTTACTTAGAGTAAAAGCCCAAGTCCCTATGATAAAGCATCATGTGATTTGGTCCCTGTTAAGTCTATAGACTCATCTCCTACTCTTTTTCTCTTACTGACAAACTCCAGCCCCATCACACTGACCCTCTCACGATTCTTCAAACAAAGCAGCTGTGCTCCTGCCCCAGGGTCTTTGCACGTGCTGTTCCCACTGCCCGGAATGCTCTTGCCTGAAATACACACATGGCTGCTCTCTTACTTCAGAACACAATTAAAATGTCTCCTTTTCAGTGAGGTCTTACCTGGATATCTTATGTAAAAATGCAATGTTTTCTGCCCAATAGCTTATTAATATTACAATTAATTCATTCAATTAAACATGACTTTTTCCCCATTAAATTAATAACAATTATTTTCCAAGTAGTTACTTTGTTCAAAGCACTATTCTGAGCACTGAATGAGGAAAATTTACTTCTGAAGGAAAAATGCAAAACTAACTTATATATGCTTTCAGACAAAGAAAGGTAGTAAACAAAGGCAAAATAATAAGGCAGAAAGTCACATTAATAAATAAAAAGCAAAGTTTAAAAAATGGGATAAAGAAAACGAATTCTACTATGATACTACATGACAACACTATCATAACTGTATGTTTCCGGCATATCCAATCATATGAAAATCAAGGTTTCATCAACCCCAATATTTGAAGGTGATTTTTCATTTTACCAGAGGACTCACTACAGCTCCATAAACAATGAGTAGACCTAGTGCTTTTAAATATTTTAACTGAATTAAAAGAAAGACACTGATCCACATTAAAAGCAAGTTGTTTCTGAAATACCCATAGCACAGAATGAAGTAGACCTGTCCTGACTCACAAGCATTCTAAATACTTTTCCAGCAGTTATAATGGATTTCTACTTATCGATCTGCATTCTTCTGACATGTTTCTTCTGTGACCAATGTTACTCATTTAAATTATTATTGTTGTTATCATTATTATTATTAATGGTGAGAACACAAGTTATACTCAGCAAATTTTAAATTATTTTTTATTTATAAAACACATGCTTATTATAGAAATTTAGTAAGTATAGAAAGGTATTTTTTTTAAAAAGAAAGAAAAAATCATCCATAATTCTGCCATCACAGATGATTACTCAACATTTAGAAGAATTCTTTCCCATCTTTCTGATACGTATATTTTTACACAGATTGACAGACTGAGAATTATAAACTCAGCATCCTAACCACTACCCTCTTTTAGAGTCTCCCAGTAATTACAGAAGGGAAATTGGGAATTCTATTTGTCAGAATTCCCTTTCCTGCATGCTTCTGGGTTAGAGTTTGCCTATGAGAGAATTTGCACGAGATGTGACAAAGACGTCATTATCCCCCTGAGACAGTTGCCGTCAGATGCCTGAGCTAATGGCAGAGTCACAGAAGCTTCCTAGTAAACCATCAAGAACCAGCTGCCTCAGTGCTTTGGGCTCAGATTCTCATTGTTGACTTCCTGGACCATCAGTGGCAACTTCCCTGATGCCTACTCCTCCAACTTTTCTAAAAGTTATGTATGTCCCTGATATTAAAACTGTCATACCTATGCCCTGGCTGGCGTAGCTCAGTGGATTGAGTGCGGGCTGCAAACCAAAGCATCGCAGGTTCGACTCCCAGTCAGGGTACATGCCTGGGTTGCAGGCCATGGCCCCCAGCAACCGCACACTGATGTTTCTCTCTCTCTCTCCTGCCTTTCCCTCTCTATAAATAAATAAATAAAATCTTTAAACACACACACACACACACACACACACACACACACACACACACACAAAACTGTTATACCTGGAATACACAGAGTGGCTTCTATTTTCCTGATTTATAATTTAGTTGGGATTATACTGAATTTATAATTTTGTATTGTGCTTATTCATGTAGCATATAAATGAGCATTTTCCCACATTACTTCAGAGGTCTCATTTTTAAAAGATTATTTATTTATTTATTTATTTATTTTTAGAGAGGGAAGGGAGGGAGAAAGAGAGAGAGAGAGAGAAACATCAATGTGCGGTTGCTGGGGGCCATGGACTGCAACCCAGGCATGTGCCCTGACTGGGAATTGAACCTGCGATGCTCTGGTTTGCAGCCCGCGCTCAATCCATTGAGCTATGCCAGGCAGGGTTCAGAGGTCTTATTTTTAATGGCTGTGCTGGGTTAATTCCCATCCACGAGCAGCACTAAAAATAATGGCATGCATTTTAAATGCAGCTGCTCAGAACTGAGAGTTCAGTCTGTGAAAATGGAACAGAGAAAATGAACTGGCCATGTGGTCACTGGACCACACAGTGGTTGGTCACAGGCTGCTGTTCCAGGCAGCTGGCATTATGATTTCACATGAGTATCATGGGGCCGTGTTGGTTCAGTTGCTCTAGCTTCAGTAACCCAAAGGTGACACAGAGTACGCACAATAACGGGGCACACATTTCATCTTTGTTACATATCCCAGCCTTTTACTCTGCAAGTGAACATAACTCAAGTTCTTTTGGGGAGGAGATTAGTTTAAAAATGAGTAAACAGGATATAAATAGGTAGATGAATGAATAGATAAGTGGAATCTAGCCATTTGAGGGCCTGGGATGGGACTGGATTCTTTTTCCTCCCTGTTCTTCTTTCTTAGCTTGTTATTCCCTTCATTCAACCTTATCTAGTCTGTCAGACCTGGAAAATATGAGAAATTGATGGTTGGGAATAGGGCAGAAAAGACTTTTCTATGAAAAAGATGCATTGATTGAAAGTTGCAAAGACATAATTAAGAATCAAGTACCTTGTAGGTATATGATTACTCAATAATAAACTTTATGCAAAATTTCAATCTTATCAAAACTCTAAAGTGTTAGCAGCAACAGAAGAGTGATGGAAAACACTTTTAAGACATAACAAACAAAAAATTCCTCTAAATAGCACCTTAAAAATACATACATACCTTATCTTCTTGACTTCGAAAATAATACAATGTTTTTCCTACAAGGGTACACCAGACTCTCTTGGAATAGCCATGTTTTACCTGAAATCATATTTCAAAGAATTACAAATGTAGCTAGCCCAGAACTCTAACACCTTAAAGTACACTACATACTCTCTATTGGGAGCTATATAGGTAGCCAGTTTCCTCAAGGTGTAAGTGACATTCCAACTAGACTGCCCAAATGTGGTTTAAGATTTACCCTTTACAGTGTGGCATGGCATGTTTTGCTTTGGTGCTGACCATTTAGCATTTCCTATACGTCAAGTACTATATGCCTGGGACTGATGATTCAAAGATGGATAAAACCAGATGACAGTTTCACAAGTAAGTATATTCCATAGTTTCCATGCTTCCCAGGTTTCTAATAACCCTAAGGCTCTCTAGGTTAATACCTTATGCTAGAAATGAGAAAAGATGAAAACTTAAAAAATTACAGTGATTTACAAATGTGAAAAATGCATTCACTTCAAAACATTTGGTGTCTTTTCCAGAAACATTCATACTAAATAATAAAATAATATTAAAAGCTAGTTTTGTCTTCCATGTCAGGAACTATATTAAGTGACTGGGACAAAATTTAAATCCAGCTCCTGATTTTTGATAGTCTGAGACTGATCCAGGTACGAGGGATACAGCTATGAACAAGACACAGTCTCCTTTCTCAAGGGGTAGGTAGCCTTGTGCGGAGAGAGACAATTGAACCTTCATCAAGAACACAGAGCTTGCATTTATATGCATCTTTTATGGAGGACATTTTACCAATGATTTTACTGAATATTGTAGGTTTTTCATCATTTGGTGTCATTATGAAGTTCCTTACTGTGGGTTCCTCCCTGCCCCAGTCCTGCCCGGGTATAAGCATTGAAGATCTCTGTCAGCCAGTCACAGCTATACCCTCACTCCCAGACAAACGCCAAGAACCCCATTCCTACAAGCGAGGAGACTGACGATGGGCCCTATTGTCCCGGACTAGAGTGTGGTGTTCCTGCGTGGGCTGGCCTTATGACTCTACTGCCTTACCAGCCCTGCCCAGTTCTGCCATGAGACCAGCCCTCTCCTGCAACAGTGGGAGCGGGCTGCAATCTGTAGAGGCCCGTCCCCTGGACACCAAGACACTGGCCAGTAAAACCGAAGCACAACATTCTGCGATTGTGCTTGCCCATGGTGACAAGTATTAAGGAGAAAAATAAAACAGGAAAGAGAAGGAAGTGCTTGGGAGGGGGAGATTGTTTTACAATTCAAAATAGGGTGCTCAGGAAGGCCTCACTGAGGTTGAGTCAAGCCCTGAAGGAAGGAGATGAGCTACTGAGTCATCAGAGAGAAGAACACCCTGGGCAAGGGAAGCAGCACTTTCCAAGGCCCTGAGGTGGTACGTGCCGCCCACGTGTCTGAGACTGAGCCAGCGAGGACAGAAGTCATCGGGGTAGGGGCCAGGGGTGAGGGTGGGTGGGGACACATATTTTGTAAGACCTTTGCATGACTTGTATTTAAATGGACTAGTAATACATTGAGAAAAATATAAAAGTATTGACAATAGACTTTTACAGTAGGCAAGTCACTACAGTAGAAAAGGCCTGAATTTTGAGGTCGACTGGACCAGCTTAAACCCCAGTTCTACTGCAGACCAGATGGATGTCCTCAGGCAACTGACAACCCCCCTGCCTCTGTGGGTAACAGGAGATTGCTGTGCACCTCATCGGGCTGTGCGATGACCAAAGGAGAAAATGTACACAAGGAGTAATAGTTACTCAACAAATGCTTCCTTCCTCACTACGCATAAGGAGAAGTAAAACACATGTTTCGCTTAAACCCACAAACACCACCAGCCTTCGGGCTTTCAGAGTTATGGTTTAAGCAAACAACTCCACCACCTCCCTGTTTGACGGATTTAGAACGCTGCTTGAGAAAAAACAAAAAATGTTTCATTTGGCAAGACATTTCACTCTAATTAAATTTAGAAACATATGTTTACAGACAAATATCCTGGAAGTTTTAAATAGTTGGTGTTATGCAGGGTTTTTTTTTTCTTCTTTTAAACAAACTCATCAAAACTGGAGTATAATGCATCAGGCTGTAGAGAGTACCCTTTTGAAATGATTTGTCTTTAAAATAGAATAATGCATACTTTTGAAGAACTATGAATTAATGAAGACCTTTGCCAATTCACTGTAAAAGCTGTGTTTAAACACACCATCTATCTTATCTTTGTATCTACATATCTTTGTATGTAGAGCTAATAATACTAGGATTTCTTTAGACTCTGACTTATTCTAAAAAACTCATAATAAAGCAAACTACACTAGAAGAATCCTCATGAAGATTTCAAGGCAACCTCAAACCTCAAGGCTTTGGGGACCAAATAATCGAAAGAATCAGTTTTTGCCTTGTGTCCGTAGCAAAGATACTTCCTATCAGCACTGTTTGAAACTTTGAAGGAGACAGTGTCACATCCCAATGGGCCTTCGTCATCACACAAAATGTAAGCTCCCCGGCCTCTCTTTTCCTATGTTCTTACACCTGTAGCCGTGTCCACCACAAATCCTGACACCAGCCTTGCCGACTTCAGTATCTAGATGAAACTCTAGTGATAATAATAATTATTTTTGAAGTGTTTATATGCGCCAGCCACTGTTCTAAAAAATTTACCTACTTAAATAATTCATTTAGTCCTCCCAAGACCCTATGAAGTTGGCAGTGTTATTATTGCCACTTTACAGATGACGATGCAAAGGCACAGAGCCCGTAGGTAACTTACTCAAGGTCACACAGTGGCCAGCGTCAGAGCCAGGGCCATGACCAGGGCCATGCTCCTGCCCTGGCCTCTTTGCTACACTGCCTCTCCACGTCCGTAACCCACAGTTCCTTGCTGTCTTTATTTGCTGTCCCTCCACTTTTACCATCCATCCCCTGGCCACACCCAGTTCGCTCCACTTCTGAAATTCACATTGCTTCCCCTGATCTCAACCTCCCTTCGCCTCCCTCTCTCCTTACTCACAACCACTCCGGTTCCTTGACTTCATTCAAAACTTTGAGTCCACTATTCCTCCCATTTTATTCCAGCATACCAGTTCCCTCCTGGCCTCTCTTCCTTCACCGTCCTGGGATCCTGTGTTTGATCACAAGTCAGCTCTTGCTCCTAGACCTGTGGTTACGCTGTATTCCTACCCTGCTGACAAACCCACCCAACAAAATTTCTTCTCCATTTGCTTTTAAATGATCCAGTGGAGAGTGTGGAAAGAGAAAGATTATGGTGATGAGGGGTTACATGAAATAACATTAACCATAGTTAATAATTGTTGAAACTGGGAGATGAACATGTGAGGGTTTGTTCTATTACTCCTTCTACTTTCATATATGTTTGAAAATGCCCATCAAAAACATTGATATTTAAATCATCATTTTGATAGACATGTATAAGCAAGTGAAACATTCACAGTAGAATCTAGGTGGTAAGAATATGGGTGTTCACGGTAAAATTCTTCTAATTTTTATGCATATTTAAAAATTTACATAATGAAATGTTAGGAAAAAAATCACTGTCCTCACAGCGCTACAATGTATATTCTCTGCTCCTGTTTGTGGGACTCTGAAGACATTAAAAATATATGAAGTCAAATCATCATTGTCAGGTGGGCCTTCAGTAACATGCACCAATCCTTCTCACTCTGCTTGAGTTTGATGCCTTACTTCCCTGTAATTATCCTGATTTCTCCCCACCACTCTTCCACACACACAAACTCAGTAAATAACTGTTTTACGGGGTGATCTCCATCAGGACAACCGAGGCCGTCAGACATCACACTCAATGCCCCACGAACTTAGCATTCACCCTTCCTCATCTTCCTGGCAGTCCAGCCCTCCTGCTGTGCTTCCCACCGCTTAACACCCTTCAGCCCACTGCCTGGCAGGTAGTAACTGCCTGATACATCTTTGTTTTTTAAATAGATAAATTCTTATATAAAAAACATTCTTCCTAAGCAGTAGAAGTTGCAAGAGTAAATATCCAGAATCATATTAGTCGAGTTCTTAATATCTACCTACGTATTTCCGTACTTAATCAGAACAATGTGACAACTCGGCAAAAAACCTTGCTCCCCTCCAAGGTACTCAAAGTTGTTCCACAGTAGCTCCAACTGTAGCCTGAGTGTGAGCTCAGAATGAGTCACTAAGAATAACCAAGGGACGTTTTTCTCTTATAAGGCTCTCAGGGTGAAAGTAGGGGTGGACAAGGCCACATGAATCGTAGGAAGAAAGCCTAATAAGCATCTTGTCTGTAAACCCTAATGGTTTAGTCATTTTATAATCACACCAACCTACACTCATATTAAAGTCTAAGGGCTTGATATACATGGTCCTTGGAAAAGGAGGACAGCTGGTCATTATGAATTATAATAAGAATGTGATTTTAAAGTAGCACTAATTCACTGTATATTTATACAGTACTGGGGAATTCTCAAACCCATCAGTAACTGACAAAAACATTTTTATGGCAATATAATATTTTGGAAAAAAGACAAACCACAAGTAACATTCATTTCTTTGTTGCATGTATTGGATTTTTTTGTTACTTTTGGAATAGCTGGTCAGTCTTTGTAAACATTACTGAACAGCACCCCCTTGCACCCCCATATTAATACTAAGTATAGATTACTTGGTGGCATAGCTCATCAGCATCTAAGTTCTTCACCTCTGACATAAAGCCCATGAATAACAAGTGACTGCAGAGGTTTATTTTTGTGTGTAAATATCTTATTGTATTTCTCTAGGAGTGACAGCAAATCTCTGTCAAAACCAACTGGAATTTTAAAATTTAAAAATAATACTTCTTAGCATAAAGCAATACTTACTCAATAAAAAGTCAGAAAACAGAGCTAAGCAAAAATAAAATAAAATAACATTCCTGGAGCTCTTCACTATGCACTGGCAGATGTCCCCTGCAGCACCGGTGGTGGAGTGGTGAGCACGGCTGCCTTGCATTCGGACTTTTCCCCATGAATAACATTTAATAAAAGCTGTGCTTTAAAGCATTCTATACATTC